TTTGTTTAAGGGCAGCAATTGGATGGCTCAGTCATACAGACCTAGGCATTTTAACTTTTAAATGTATACATAAATAGACTCATTTTGTGGAATATATTCTTTCATTTTACAAAACTTGCTGCTTTAAAGTTATATTAAAGGCCTAATTGTTTAATAACAAACATATTATACTATGGTTTTGCACAGAGCAGCTTTGATCCTCCCCCTGTCGGTGCTTTGGGCTTCTCCTCTGATGGCTCTTATTCCTTCTGATGATGTACGTGTGATACGAAACGCGCGTCAAGGAGTAGCCCTTGTTAGCCGTGACGCTAAACCGCCGGATCAAAGGAGGTCCGGCGGCCACTCTTCTATACCAGCTGGACCACCAGGCGATTACTCCAAAGCTCAGAGATATATCCAGCTGATCCTGTTTGGAACCTGTATGCCAGTAGGAATCCCCAGATGGGTCATCTTTCATCATAGAACCATCTTTTGGAGTTTCCTTTCATCCACAGTCGGAGTGATCTTTGGTGTATGAGACACAAACGCACATTTAAATTGTGCTTCCGGTGAGTGCGCAATTCATTCATTTCTTCTGCACATTGCCGGACTACATGCATTACAAAGATCTCATCGGGATACACTCATCTGTGTTTCTTTGATGATTGGACTATATTGTGCATTTATATTGTGCGTTTTGTATTGTGAAGTGATAATTGTTGGAGTTCATGTCATTCCTTCTCCTCCTCCTGTTTCCAACTCATGGGAGGATCACATATAGTGTGTTTGGTCACATATAATGCATATGGTCCACATCTGCTGACATTTAAGTAAGGGATATTGTACCATCTCCAATACTGGTACAGTCATATAACATCAAGCGCTGCACTATTTATCTTATATTATACTATGGTTTTGCACAGAGCAGCTTTGATCCTCCCCCTGTCGGTGCTTTGGGCTTCTCCTCTAGACCGCATGCCCCATAGCAACCCCATTGCTATGGGGGCACTTGTGAATACTTGTTCCCGAGCTCTGCTCTGTGCGTCCACAAGACACACAGAACGGGGCTCGGCCCCTCCCCTGCTCCCATCTCATTGGCTGTGATTGACAGCAGCTACATACTCAAGTTTTTTGCCATCATGCATAGAATGCATGAAGGTAAAAAGCCTTCAGGCTTTACAACCACTTTACCTTTTATGGCAAATATTGTATACTGTACCTAAAACTTAAGTGCTCTGATGCTGCCATCTAGTGGATACTGATGGTGTGCATCTTTGCTGGTTGTATTGAGAGAAATTTGCTATTGCTGATCTCGTCTCCTGAAAATACTAGCTGCCTGGTTGTCATACTGACCCTCTTGCTTCAAAAAAAGACCAGTATGCAGAACAAAGTTATACATTTTGCATGATTTACCAGATCAGAGACTATAATGAGTGAAGCCAGAGACTGTCAATATAGGCGGAGAATAGCTGGTAAAGGCAGCTTTCTGTTTTTTTTCCCTTCAGGTTTTTCTTTTTAAAAAGGGTCATGCCTTGAACTTCCATTGTGGGAGCATTCTTGAAATTCCAGTATGTTCTGATGAAATGGGTGTTCTAAAGTACTTCTGGTACAATGAGATCAAATGTTCACAGATCACTTTGTTTTTGTTATTTAACAATAATTTCATAGTGGAGCCCAGGTATCTCCTGGTTCAATTGAAAAGATGGGCAGATATCTCAAAGAAAATGTATTGCAATGAAACATAATCAAGGTTTCAGTATTATTGGGTATATTACCTGCAAATGTCAGACCAAGAATGGGCACTCTAAGGGTTCACATTAGTGGTGAAGGGCAGTAAAACCCTGCAGTTAAGCCTCACTTACTGCTCTATCTGCTGCCCCCTTTAGATGCAGACGCAGAGGGCGGGAGTGTACAGTACGATGCTTTGCTTTACAGCCCAGGCAGGATTTATACCCCCCCCTGTCAATTTTGATGGACATAGTGACCCTTACAAGTGAATGGGGCAGCTCTGCAAACACCCCACAACCATATGCAATGCATGTGGTTGTGGTGTGCTAGTGTGGGGTTCAAGGTGTTAAAGCAGGTGTTGAGGAGGTGATACAATGCTTCCACAATGCCTGTCAGATGCTCTTTGGAGAGCAATCCGAACAAGCCGAAAGAGTAGACATACATACAGTAAAGATACAGTCATGTCCATAAATATTGGGACATCAACACAATTCTAACATTTTTGGCTCTATACACCACCACAATGGATTTGAAATGAAACTAACAAGCTGTGCTTTAACTGCAGACTGTCAGCTTTAATTTGAGGGTATTTACATCCAAATCGGGTGAACGGTGTAGGAATTACTGTATTTGCTGACTATTTGCGTATACATATTCTAATTTCCAGATTTCCTAGTACACAACATAATCCATCATACCTACTCTGCATTTGGAAACCCTAATTATATCTGTAATGTCAAACCCTATTTGGTCAGATAATTCCAAGTGATGCTGGAATCTGTTGCATAGTTTGAAAACATTTAGCCAAGCATGGCTCACATGCAGAGATTCTGTGTTCAAAAAGGTGTGTGAAAATTCTGACATTTGTCTGAGAATTCAGTAATCTCCTATATAGAGTCCCTGTACATCAGAGCTCAAACTAGGAGAAGGAAGGACATCACACAGAGCAAACTAGCTGTGCTGCAGTGTGCTCTTTTTTTTTTTTTTTAAACACGGACTATAATGATGAATTAATAGAGCAGAGTGACAGACATGAGCGGATCAGTATGCTGCTTTTCCCTACACTGCCCAGTCAAAGACTGTTAAAGGGAAAGACCTATAATTGTTACTTAACTACAGTAGAGAAAAATCAAACCTCCTGCCCTGCCGGACAGGCCTAGGCTGTGTGGCCGAATTATGTTAATCTTGGGATTCAATGGATCGAAATACAAATTCTTTAGTAGGCAAACCAGGTTTGTGTGAAGCTGTTTGCCAAGAGTTCTGCTAAAAAGTATAACTCCACTTTTGTGGAACAAATAGCAAATAATAGTACAATTACTACACAAGCAATCTTGTAATTGAATGTTATTAAAAAATTACTTTTCCTTTTCAATCTGCAGCTGCTCTAATTTTCTATAAAATAACAATACATTTATGGTAGAAATCTGCTACAAAGTTTAAAATCCTTCCAATGTACACAGATCACCCTGAGGGGATTTTTTTCTGAACAAAAGTTACTCTTGAAGATATATTGACCCTACATTAGAATTTGAAGTGATGACTAAAACCCATCAGACATGGACCATGTATTGTTATTCCCCTGCTGATATTCAACATTTTGATTTACTAAAAGCAAATAGGCTGTTTACTTTGCAAAGGAATTTTCCCTTTAGCTTACTGAACGAGGTGAAGCTCTGATGAATTCCATCTAAAATCATGTGCAAGCAAAAATATTGTTTTTTTTTTCCTTGCATGTTATACTTGTGGCACTACCTCCTTAGGCGTTGCTGAAGATTTGGGTTCCCCTATAGTCGTGCACAGCTAGACAACACAAATTTCTCACAGACTTGCATTCTGGAGACAGTAAACAATCCTTGAGCTTGATTTTTTAAGTTTTATTAGGGGTAGTGAACTTGGATGGAGTTGAGGGGTGTATGGAATGGCACTTTACAGCAAAACTCTTCTGAGACAGCTCTCAAGTCTTTCCTGGTGTACCACCCCAGACCCCCGATGAATCTTCTTCTCATCCAGCTATCTGGAGGAAATCCCTTAGCAAGGGGATCCAAAGCTGCCACTTTAAAAGTAACAGTCCCAGTTGTAGACCTAGTCAGGTTTCCCACCAGAATGTCCTCTCCTCTTGTCTGGCCCAGGAGGTGCAGGATTACTTACTCAGGCCTTTCCTGTGAGCTGGTTGGGTTGGTGGCTTCCTTCAGGCCTTCTGCTGGGCTGGCTCCTTCCCTGGCTCCACATGTGGTTCTCCCTCTGGGGGCTGGGGATCTTCCATTCCAAGTCCCCAGCCTGTAGTTAGGCCCTTTCCCACTGGGTCCCCCTCCAAAGCTCTTGCATCTCTGCCTCTCACTCCATCTTGTACATTAACTCTTCTGCTGGTGAGCATGCTCAGTCACACTTAAAGGCTGCCTTGGCCCCATGCCAAACCTCCTGCTTTGGGAATGGCCAAAGTCCTCTAAGTGTGCAGGCCAGCCCCTCCTCATGCCTGCCCACTGCTTCTAGAATCTTCTCCAAGTCTCTAGAGCAGGGAGAGGTATCAAGGAACTTACCTGCAGAGCCATCAGCCGTGTCATAAATTTGGCCCACTGTCTCATGCAGAGGCTGCTACTCAGCTTTTCTACCTAAAGAAAAAAAACTCTCTCTCCCTGGCTATCTAGAGGGGCGCTACATACTGCATCCTTATTTTGGTAGCATTAGCAAATAGGAAGGTATATTATATTTACTTGGTTTAAACCTTGTTTTTTTAACATTTCTTCAGTTGCTTCCTAGTTCTGGTCTAGGCAAATGTCATACACTCCAGGCATCTTCATGGATATTTTTTAAATTTCATCTGGAGTAGGGAAGGATGGGCTTTCTTAGCGTAGTACACCCTCCTGTCTGCATGCCTGAACTAAGAGCAGATGGACTCCAGGAAGTGAAAACTACATGAATCATCTGCCCTTACTCAAGATGGCCATGGCTAGAAATGCTAGGGGTGTTTTTCAAAAGGATTTTTCAGCAAAATAAAGTACAGAGACATGGATAGATGGGTGAGTTTGCTTTGATTAAATAAAACTGCATTAAATAGTGTTTTCAGTTTGTGGTGCTCAAATACAGTTGAGTTCTACTTTCACTAAGCTAAGGGATAGTTACCTTGCAAAGCGAACAGCCTATTTGCTTTTAGTAAATCAACTCTGATGTCTAAATGACTTGATGTTTGGAGATTATCATAGTCACTAGCAGCAAAGTATTGGAACTTCTTTACGCACTCTCATCAGAGTATATATACCACAATAACAGTTGCCTGAAAGGATCAATTCACTTACATTTGCGAAACAGTTTCAGATTTGGTTGTACAGAAGTCTCATATTCGTTGATGACTCCTTCAATTCTTTTATGTAAACTTTCTTCCGTAACTGCATATAGATATTTCCTCAGCAATGGGACATTTGACAAGTTCCAAATGAACTTTCCACGGTTAAAATGCTCTTTATGTGGATGCTGAAATTTCTGAAAGGAGTACAAAATTGCTTTAGGAATTAAAGTAACACATGTGTTAATTTTCATTGAATGACTATTTGGAATACCAAAATTGATATGCAAATGTTCAAACCAGTATAATAACCCAGAAAACAGATTAAAACTCAAATTGGAACTGCATTAACATTTGAAGTTTTGTTATGTAATGCACACATACTCCTCCTGACTATATGGCTGCATAACATAAACACAGTGAGCACACTGTCAGAGCCTAAAATTCTGCACTTTAGATGGTTAAAATTACACTTTCAGGTGTCTAGAATCCTCTGGCAGCTCTAGGGTCATTGGTTCATATCTCAGTCAAGACACTACCAGTGCCTGCTTGGGATTCCTCCGGGTGCTCTGGTTTCCTTCCACACTTCAAAGATGTGCTGATAGGTTAATTGGCTCCTATCTAAATTGGCCATAGTATGTGTATGTATGAATGTGATTTAGGGACCTTATATTGTATGCTCCTTGAGGATTAGGGACTGATATGAATGTACAATATAGATGTAAAGTGCTGCATAAATTGACAGCGCTATACAAGTACCTATAATAAATAAAAATATTATTCTCTCCTATCTGGTGTCTTTTGTCTCCTACCTTCACCCCGTTAAACAGTGGCAACCTCCTTTAGACTCTTCAGCATTTGACACTCCCAGGAGTGTAGTAAGTTATCCACCACTCCCTGTAGTTCAATCCTCCAACCATTATGCCATCTGATCTTCGGATTGCAGGAAAGAACTATGGTGTGTGGTGGGGGACCCATGTGTTTTATAGTCCCAGGAATGTTAAATGCTGAAGCACCTGAAGGAGCCTGCACCATCTCAATAGACTGAAGGCAGGAGAGAGGGGATGCAGAAAAGATGGGTACAATAACTCTTCTATAACAGAGAACTGCCATGTAGATTTTTTTTTTGTCTGACAGGGTTGCTTTAATGTCTTCATCAGTGCATCCTGAGGTCTCTTCAACTTGTAATTCCACCAGTCTACTTCCTCCTCTGGGGCAGTATTTCTAATTCTTGCTTCCCTTAAGAGTAAGCAACTGACCCAGAAGAAACATAACAAAGCATCTTAGTGAAAAGACTCTGATGGAAAACCTTTACTCCCCAGTTCATGTGCCAGATTTTTACTGGGAATATACTCAGTGAATAGGTTCAGTTTCATTGCCCTAAAACTATTATTAGAACTAATTGCCCCAGAGTTTATTCCACATGGATTAGGCTTTTGTTTTCATTTTCTAGCAGATACCCACTCCCACTTCTACTGGGATAGCCTAGGTGATCCCATTGGAAGGTCTCCCCCCCCACCTCCCTGCCACAAACTCCTGGAACATGTCACAGGTCCGAGGATACTGCAGGATCATTCACAGAGTGCAGTGTGGCTCAGGCAGGTGAAGTGGGGAGCCAACTGTAAAGCAGCAGGAAGTCACAGCCAGCTTCCTACAGTAAACATTGCGGCACTAGAGACCTTAAGACTGGCAAAGAATCTGCTTGGGTGAGGACAGCTCTGGACTCCTGGACCGGTAGCTGCTGACTTTTAATTTTTAGAAAACTGACTGAAGCTCATCTAAACCGTTATTTAAAAAAAACAAACCTGTTATGCTTATATGCTCTGTGCAGGTAAGCAGCACCAATCCCCCTCTTCTCAAGCCCCCATTGGTGCTCTTGGCTCCTCACCCTCGCCGAGTGCCCACCATATCAAGTTGCTTGCCTGATTTCCCCTTCATTTGATAGTGCCTACATAGTTCTAGGACCAATGTCACTTGACAGACCCAGCTCTATTACACTAATGATCTTTTAAGCTGCCTGTACGGAGGACATTCTTCCTCATGACTACCAATGTATGGGGCATTTTTCCCACTGACCCCCAATGTATTCGTTCTAGTAAGGGTTCCCTGAGACCCAAAAATGATTTTAAGGCTTCCTCTGGGGTAAAAAAAAAGTTCCTCTGGTTTCAGGCCAAAATGACATAGACTCAGCCACTTAAGCAGATCAGTGAGTGAGGAGTGTGTGCATAATGAAGTAACAAATGATTGCTTGCTTGATTCCAGCAGTCACTTTTACTGTGCAGGTTTATTATTCAGGAGCATTCTTGGTGTTGGGGTAACACACTAAATCTTCCTTTACATTTTGACACCTGAGAACCTTTTTAAGTGGGTGAAAACAGACAGAACACAAGAATACATTTTAATAGCATAATACACCTTTGCTAACTTGTCATCAAGAGTGGCCGCCATTTTGCCGATGTCATATAATATTTGTGGAGTTGCTGTTGCTGTAATTTGAGCTGCTGGTGTTCCAGGAAGGTAGCTCAGAAGTCTCACGGCATGATTCTGTACTACATTGCCATAGTCTGGGGGGAGAATTAAGTAAGTTAGATATGTTTTCTAAACTCACAGACAAACATATAAAAAAAATCTAGAAAATTAATTTTTTTAAAATGAATCAAACTTTGTTTTTTACTTACAGTATGTGCCAATTTTATGAAATAAAATAATCAAAACATGGCATAGAAAGCATGTACAAATGCAAGTCATGGGTAGAATACTGCCAAGAAAATGTATTAATGTATAAAATGTATATGATATATATAAAAAGTGTGCTGAACGATAAATGTATTGGCCAATAAATGTAATAGCCAATCGGCTTCTAGTGGTAATTTCCTCAGTCTAGTTTTGAAACTGAAACAAGCATCCTTATTGCAAAACAAATGCCACGTATGACCAATAATTGACACTGCTACTGATCTATGGTAAATTTAAGAGCTGTCAAATGGCTGGTAGTGACCAATCAAAAGGAAATGGGAGGAGCCTAACCACGGGGAAAGAATGTCAAAAATGAAGGAGAGATGGGGACACTGTATCGGGGTATCGGGCAATGCATAGAGGAAAAAAAATATATATATATAAATTAATGGTGGGGGGAGTAAAAAAGCCGTGCAGCTGAAAAATTGGACCCACCTTACAAACAGAAATGAAACAACAAAAGAACACACAGTGCACTAATGGTAAAATAAAGCCCAAACAGTGCAATGGTAAAAGAGTTCTATAAGTGTGGGGGTGACGCACAGATCATCCCCCATACTTAAAAAGCCCTCACTGGACCCCACCAACTGGAACAACTTAAGATCTATCGCTTTCCTCCCATTCACCTCTAAACTGTTAGAACACTTAATCTACAACTGAAACCAACCTTTTTGACCCTTTACAGTCTGGATGTCACTTGCAGCACTCTACAGAGCATACCCTACTAAAACGTACTAATGATTTGCTAACTGCTAAAACCAATGGCCACTATTGCATACTGTTACTACTAGACCTCTCTATGGCCTTTGATACTGATGGCCACCCTATCCCTCTAAATAAACTCCCTTGACCTTCAAGATTCTGCTTTTGTATGGTTCTCCTCCTATCACAGAGCTCCTTCAGTGTTACCTATGACTCAGTTTCCTCTCTACACTTCCTCTTTCTGTATTGGTCCCCCCAAGGCTCTGTTCTTGGACCCCTTCTCTTCTCTAGCTTCACCTCCTCTCTTGGTCACTTGATAACCTCCTATGGCTTCCAATACCATTCGATGACACCCATATCTATCTCTCCTCACCTCACCTTTCAGTCTCCTAAAGCTTTACTAACTTAATAAATTACATATCAACATGGATGTTGCACTATTTTCTCAAATTTAAACCAAGCTGGTAATATTCCCCCTTCTCTCATTTGTGCCCTCCTCCCTGAATTTTCCATCAATATCAGGGATACATCTCTCAGTCCCAACTCTCAGGCCGGGGTACTAGGTGCAATCTTAGACGCTGGCCTTTCCTTCAGGCCCCAAATCCAATTCCGATCAAAAGCTTGTAGACTTCATCTCCTAACATCTCTAAAAGTTTCCAATTTTTAATTAATTAAACCAACAAGCTACTCATTCACTCCCTTGTTATATCTTGCCTAGACTATTGCAACTCCCTTCTCATCATAGGCCTACCTTTCCATAGGCTCCTTTTCAGTCTATTATGAATGCTGCCAGACTTCTCTGTCTTACCAACCACTCAGTGTCTGCCACCCCTCTCTGCCAATTCCTCCACTGGCTTGCAATAGCTCAGTAAATTAAATGCAAAATGCTCACAACATCATACAAAGCCATTCACAAATCTGCCCCAAGCTATAGCACCAATCTTGTCTCCAAATATCATCCAAACTGTTCTCTCTGCTCTTCTCAAGATCTCCTGCTCTCTAGCTCTCTTTTCTCCTCCTCTCATGCTTGCCTGCAAGGCATCTCCAGAGCATCTCCCCTCCCCTGGAGCTACTCATCTCCTACTCTGGCCACCTTAAGACATTATCTGAAAACTCATCTCATCAAGGAAGCCTGTCATACCTCCAACTATCAGCTGAACTTTTAACTCTTCCATCAGCTCATCCCCCACAGTTATTACCTTTTGTACCACTTGCCCCACCCTATTAGATTGTAACCTCTTATGAGCAGGGCCCTCTAACCCGCTTGTAATTTATTCTTTTGTAGCTGTACTGTCTCCCTTAAGATTGTAAAGCACTGTGAAAATTGATGGCTGTATATAAATCCTGTATAATAACAATCATCATACCCTTCTCATACATCAGTCCATGTATGCTCATGAAAATTACAGTTTTGTTTCCATTAAAGCTGACCTCCAGGCAAATAACAAGACACAAATTAATGGAGCTCTGGATTTATTAGCACATCTTTACATTTATTTAAAGCTGAGATCCAGGGCAGTAACTTAATCAATACAACAATTAATTTCAATTGGAAAAGTAAATCCGCCCGTGTATGCATTTTGTTGATTTAATTTCACACTTTCGTAAGAGGGAAAGTTCAGTTCAATATTGCAGATGAACTAAACAAGATTTGTTTTTCATATGATTGGATAATTTAAGTGAATTTTCACTTTTTGTTTGTTAGGGGAATATTCCCAACTCCTTTAGTAAATCAGCCGCCGTATCATGAAAGCACACTGTTACAAATATTTATTTTTAAAACAATTTTATTCATCTAAATTTTAAAGATAAAAAAGATGCATTTGTAAATATTAAAACACATTGACCTAAACAAACATTTTCTCTTAGGCCATGTTCACACTAGCTAGCAAGGTTAACGTACAGGCTGGTGACAATTGTTTTCTATGTGCCCTAGCGGTGACCTGCATTTATCCAATGAAAAAAAACCCCTGGTCACTGAATATAGTGTGAACGAACCCTTAAAGGAGATGTATAGAGTTTTGCAAATATATTTATCACCTCACCTTCAGTTATGATAGTGAATCTTAGAAAGGTGTAGCTTCTATATCTACTTATGATTGTTTATTTTACTGCAAATTTCTCAGTACTGAACGCTTGTCCTTTGAGCTTTTCCTTGGAAGACTTTGTGGTTGGTTTACTAAAGGCAAATAGACTGTGCAGTTTGCAAGCGCAGTTGCAATTGGCAAGGGCATTAGCTCCAAAGCTTAGTAAATGAGGGAAACTATGTTGACTTCCATCATCCAGCATCTGCAAGCAAAATTTTTTTTGTTTTGTTTTTTTTTCCTTGCATGTGATTTGGTACTTCTTACAAATTGAAGTTTCATATCATTTACTGACCTTTAGAGTAAATACCATTGCAGAGTGCAACTGTATTTGCAAGGTGCAGAGTCTATTTGTCTTTATTATATCAACCTTTGTCAGTGTTTCATGTGTCCAGTGTTGGGTTACACATGTAAATAAGGATCCTGAGGGTCAACAGCAGGTATAACTTCAGGAAAATAAATTCTTTATTAGTTACTGTAGGTTAGCACACTCCGTCTTGCAGTGCTTATTGAATAATCTTAGCTTATGTAATGGTTAGTGATTGTCTTCTAGGGAATGAGCCCATAACTACAACCAGAGCAAATATAACTCTAATGGGATCCAACAACTGGGGAGGGGGGAGCCAATACTGTCTGCATGTATAATGGTTTTTTATAAGCAGGAACAGGAGCTGTTAAACCCTTTTAAATAAGATAAATGCCAAAGCAGTTTACACATCTAATTGATGTAAAATCAACTAGTACTCAGCAACTATAAAATGTTGTAAGTCTTACAAATAAAATTTAAGTTTCAGATATATGATTCCTAGATTTGATATGGTATTCACATTATTTGATGATTGATGCTTGAAATTAAATTTGTTCTAATCTTACCTATAGCTTCTAGGGACATAATATGACCACTTTGTGTTAACATAGGATATTGGGTAGGAAGACCTTCATCATGCAAGAACTTCATGACATAGGTTTGCGCTTCAACAAGTTCTGTGCTTTTACTGCATTCACCATTTATAATCTTCAAGACAAATTCATTTCCACCATCTGTTACATCACTTGTGGTCTGGATATAGAAATTTTGGTCGTCATAACTTGGTAGGGGCTTCACTTTAGTTACTTGTAGGCCATATACATTTTCCGCCACGGCAATAGCTTGAGATTCACTCAGTGCTGGCTTAGTAGCAATAAATGATGTTTTTCGAATCAGAATTCATTTTTCAGCCTCCTGAAAAGCAAGCAAAAAAAATCTTAGACTTCTTTGGAATTTGCTTCTAACTTTGGCATTGCCAACTATTGAATAAGATTTTCCAAACCCTTGGCAGACTGATCCCAGGCAGATTTTCCAATCTCTGCACTTGATGTCCACAGACTATTGCAAACCACATATTTTTGTAATGATAAACTATGCAGTGAACACTTGGCAGGAGACTGAGTAATTCTGTCCATAATCATACAGCCTGATTATCTTTTGTGAGTTGTATCAGATTTTCCTACTTAACGTAAATAATTTTTCTTGGAGCTCAATGAGGGGCATAGGAATATAGGAATTATTAGGCATTTGGGTTACACTGCCACCTACTGGGGGTTAGGATACTGACAAACAAAAGTTAAGCCAGCCTCTGTACACTCCTCCAACCAGCTTACCTTAGGCTTGTGAGCAAGCAGTATACAAGGCCTCGGTTTGTACCGTTTACAGTAAGTACAAAAATGTTTTTTTCTTTATTGTCCATTAATACCAGTTGCCAAAGAGAGTTCCCCTATGGTCCCCAGCTGTGAGGCCTTAGACTGTCCAATATTCCCAGTTGCCTTAGGAGAAGATTTTCCTCTCCAAACTAATTGCTAACCATTTTGGAATATCCCATGCCCCAACCCCTCCCCTGGTATTTATCAACAATAAATCACAAAACCACTTTTAGACTGTTGGAGCTGGAGTGAATGGACTGTTGCTTGGGTGGCTGGTAGCCACTGATTGGCCAATCAGTGATCACATGAATAGTAGTAAACAAGATGTCACTGCCTGATATCATTGCTTGACTGATCACAGAGGTCACATGGTACACGGCTATTCACAACAGCCTTGTACCAAGTAACAAGCTGTGACCAATCACAGCTCACACAGTATTTCTCAACGGCTGCAAGAATGCAGTCAGAGAGAAGGAGAAATGATTGCTTTTTTACAGCCTTGGTGTAAAAGCAATCAGTGTAAAAAATAAACAAAATCTTCATCACCCCCCACAAGTAGTACAGTGTCACTATGGTGACACTGTGCTGCTAGGGTGACAGTATGTTTAAAAAAAAATACATAAATAATATAAAAAAAATAAAAATGTGATTTTTTTTTTTAAAAATTATAATTTTTGGTTATAAACTAATTTGGGATATTTTTTTTTTTACTAAAAAGATAGCTGAATACATTTTGGTCAAGATTTATGAAGAAAGATTATTTATTTGCAAAATTTTTTAAGAAAAACACTTTTTTTTAAAAAAAAATTTGACTTTCATTTATATAGCAAAAAAAAATAAAAATCCCAGTGGTCAATAAATACCACCAAAATAAAGTTTTATCTGTCTCAAAAAAATTCGTATGGGTACAGGGTTGCGTGCCCAAGCAATTGTCAAAGTGTGATAGCACTGAAAGCTGAAAATTGGCCTAGACAGGAAGGGGTGAAACTGTCTGGACTTGAAGTGGTTAAATTCAGGGAGGGAGGAGAGAATTGTAGAGTGGAGGGAGGAGAGAGGGATAGAGTGATGGGAAGGGGGGGTGTGGACAAAGATTGGAGATGTAGGGAAGAAAATTCTGCTAGGAGTGCTTGGGGGTGGAGGGGATTTGGAGGGGGAGATGTGTTGGGAGGGGGATTTGGGGGAGGAGAAAGAGATTTCTGCTGGTTTGGTATGAAGGGGGCTTTGTGCTAGGAGGGTGGATTTGGATGGGGAGGATTTGTGTTGAAGGGAAGGATTTGCATATATGGCTTAATTAATTATGTATTTATTTTAATGCAGTTGATGAAGCACTATTAGCACAATAGTACACTTAGCACTGTATATGAGTGAATTAGTTGAGCATATTTTTGTCTGTCGATACAACAGCAGGTGGTGACCTAGGAAAGGTAGTTAAAGTGTAATTTCACTCTCTCAATCAATATTGACTTTTTTAATTCTTATGCTGCTAGCATTTGTAAATGTAATAGGAATGTACAATATAACATATTTACTTGTTGTTTATGAGTTCATTTTTTTGTTACATGTTACTTCCTGATCTCCATGCCTAGGTAAATGATGTCATACATCCCAGGAATCTTCATGGGAAGAGGGATTTTCACAGCTAAGCACACCCCCCTGCGTGCATATCCTAGCTAAGGGCAAATGGATTCCAGGAAGTAAATGCTATATGAATCATCTGCCCTTACTCAAGATGGCCATGGCCAAAAATGCGGGGGGGGGGGGGGGGGGGGGGTTGGTTCAAAGTGAAAAACAAAATAAACTATTGAGGCATGGATAGATGGGTGAGCTTGTTGTCAATATCAAAAATAAATTGAATAGCATTTTTGTGGTTGCTTAGGTTGTTTTGTGGTGCTCAGATGCAGTGTAGTTCTGCTTTAAGTTTTTATAATAATCAAACTGTTTTATAGTAAACCTTTCTTAAGAAATGAATAGAGAATGCCTTTGCTGGCCTCCTTGGAAAATGCCTGGCTGTTATGCAGACTCTGTGACTTCAGTATATTCACAGAAAATGTGAACTCTTTTTCTACATACTTGTCCTCGCATAGTCACTCAAAGTACTACAACGAGCTGCTCAGAATAACACAGGCAACTAGCTTTTGAGGTGTCAGTAACAGAACCTTCCACATTTCTCTCGGTACAGGTTTCCTTGAAGATAACATCCACAAAAAAAAAAAAAATGCGAGTAACCATTTTTCTGGAGCTCTGTGAACGTGCGTACATGAAGCCTGAACCTTGGCCACGCTCATATTGCTTACATAAGAGAAATGTTGCCACATGACTCGCATAGGAATCTTAAGTTCTAAAGAAGATTCCTTTGTTGCCATTATTTTAAATGTAAAGGATTCTACAGATTTCCTTTATATTTGTTTAGTTTTTCTGGTTGGAGAAATACATTTAAAATTGCATATTTATCTATATATTGCTTTAAGAGGCAGAGCCTAAAATAGCATCTGGTTTATTTTAACTTCATACAAGAGCAGCTGTGTGTACTCCATGCAATCCACTCCCCTCAATCCCTGAAAACCGTAATGAATATCTGTACAGTTTAGCATTAACAAAATCTATACTCTGGTCTCCAAAATAAATATATGCTCAGTTCTGGAAATTATATTTCAAAGTTTGTGGATGTGAAACTTTTTTTCTGGAGCAATTGGTGGCGCTTTGACTTTAAGCTGTACAGTTTATCAGCCTTTAGTCTCATATGTTATGCTGAAATAAATTAAAGCTTAATGTTATGAATCTTACAGTATATATTGCTCAAAAACGAATGACAGATGATCATATTTAATAGTGAGGATATAGACTGCTAGCTTTAGACACAGAATTAATATTATTGGTCAATAATTTGATTCTTCTGGCACATTATCAATGCTAACATTATATGGCAATTTACACATTTAGATTCCCTTTTAAAGATATAATTAGGACTCACCAGCTAGGTACCATATAATCTTCAAATGTTGTCCTAATGAAACTCTTATTTATTCATCATCTATTTACACATATCATTAATATCTTCGGTCTGCAGACAAGCCCCAGTATAGAATAAGTGGGTCTGTTTTCTTCACATTTTATGCCTTTTTAACCTTTTAAGCTGGGCAGTCTGTGTATGCTAATGACCACCTGTGAAATCATTAAAACATTTGTGTATTAAAGTTTATGAAAATTAGTTTTGTTGCTCTTTATGATTTCAAGTAGTTGTTAAACCCTTCTAAGATTTATACATGAACAACAGTTGGAGAAGCAATGCAATGTGTATGATCTAACGGTGGTCACTAGTCATCAATACAAATACTGAAAGTTGATCTATACATATTTATCACTGAACAATCGATAAAACCTACCTGAAGCTTGCCATCAGTCGACGTGTGGATATGTTGCAGGATAACACACCCTGCTGATCTGCTGTAGAGGATCTGTGCCTAGATGTGGGAGGCCCAAGCATCTAGTAACAAAAGGAGAACGTTTGGCCAGAGAAAACTTAAACAGGGGCAGCTGCAGATTTCCTCTCAGCCAGAAAGCGGAATTCAACTTCGCATACTGATGAACAAGCCAGTCTTTCTGCACTTTAACCTTTCTATATCCTGTTTTTACAGACTGTTAATTATTTAACTATTTTTATTATTCATTTTTGATCCATACCAAACTAAGCTACTGGGTGTTTTGAGAATGTATTTTACATTAACCCTGTAGTCTCTATATTATTTAATAATTAGCTCTTCAAGACATTGTATAGCAATTTCAGAAACTTTTTTAACATCCCTAGCGGTCTGATTATGTCAGTATTTCTGTGCTCAAAGCAGTACATTTTTTTGCATGGAAATATGTTGTTTTTTTATTGTAGGCCTGTAATTCTTAGGAATAACTCACTGAAATCTGTCCAAACAAGAGTCTAGTAAACATCCCGGGTATGATATAATTTGAAACACAAAATCATAAATTATAATATAATAAATAATCATAAAAATAATAATATAATAATACATTTAATTCAATAGTGTAATCAAACCAAAAACACTGAAATTTGAAATAGAGTGCCAAGCCCCCACAAATCATTATCATTCAATTCTGCAAGTGGTTCTAATTTACTATCGCTGTTCTCTAGCTGGTCTAAAACCGCTTTTGACATAAAGGGACACTTTTTGGATGCCATGGACGTTTCTCAGTTTCCAGGCAGAAAGAACAGTAAAAATGCTGGCAGGGCACAGGACAAAGCAGTAGGGACAAAATGTATGTGAAATGGTTTGATACAGTAATGTTTTACTATGTGATTTTAGTGTATTGAGTGAATGTCACATTTTTAAATTTTTAAATTTCCCGCCGGTTACCGTCCCCTGTTTGTCCCATATGTCCCGATTCTCACGGAGAATGGAACCCAGAAGACAGATGCCAGCATCGGCCAGGAGGAGATGGCTGGGGGCGCTGCAGGGGGGACATTGCGGGAGCGCAGGACAAGGTAAGTGCTGGAGGGATCCCTGAGCAATGCTGCAGG